GCATCAAGGTAGCGGGCAGCGCGCGGCGCCGTGCCGCGGCGGGGCGGGCCGCCGCCGGAACAAGCCAAGCGCGTCCGTCGGGGAGCGGAGCGCCGCGCTGCGCGCGGTCACCGGCCGGGAGGCTCCGAGGGACGTGGGCCGGCGGGCTGCGGCGGCGGTCGGCGGGCGGGCGGGCGGGCGGGCGGGGTGAGCGCCGGGGTCCCTCCCGCCCGTAACGACTCTGCGATTCTGCGCTCCGCTCGCTGGGTCGCGCTGACGGTGCGTTACCAAAACAGCCGGCTGTGCCGTCTGCGGTTCGAACCGCTGGTCGCTTCCGAACGCAGAGCGCTTGGCTGCTGCCTGGCGCGTCGTTCCGAGCCAAGCTCCCTCCTACTTCTGCTTGACGGTTTGTTTCCACGAGCAGATGCTCGTAGCCGTGTGGTAAGAGGGACCGGCGGCAGTCACGGGGCTGTACCGTCAGCGGGTAATTACAGCTGACGGTCAGCTGAAAGCCAGCATCTTTCTTCCTGGTTGAAGATGTTGCGGGAGGCCCGTCGCACCCCTGGACCTCTTCTCTTGTGCTTTTGTCACCCCACGGCCTTGGTAACTGAAAAGGAAATGTCTACGAGAGCCTTTATTCGTCCTTTCCTTTGTGAAACGATTGCATAGCGCTTCTTCAGCTCCCAGCTGACATTCTGCACCCTGGTCCGTTGCGGTCCGTAACAAGCGGAGAACCTGTGGAGAGAGATCTTCCCGTCGGTGCCGTCTTGCTGCCTGGCGTCGTCAGCGACTCGGGCTGATGCAGAGCAGTGACCGAGAAGAAGCGCGATCCGCAGCGCCGAGGTGCTTCGCTTGGGATATCGTGCCCTGTTGCGATGGAAGCTGCCGTGGCTGGCTTTGCTGCCTTTGAAACCCTGCCTGTCGAATACGTCTGGGTTCTGGCTGAGGGAGGCGGCCAACAGGGGAGGATGCTTTTCCGATGCCCGGTTTCCCAGGAGGTTCTGTTTCGGCTGGAAAAGGAATAACCGTCATCATCGTTGCCAGAACCGAAGCTATTAGGAGGATGCTGCATGTCATAGGGTCCCCCTTTTTGTCGTTTGCCTCCTCCCTTCTTCCCATCCCCACCTTTCTTGCTCCCGGCATCTCTGCGGCCCTGCCTGTCGAACCGGGAAAGAGAGCAGCTGAGAGGAATCCCATCGCTGCCGTTCTCATCGTGCCCCGAAGGGCCTGCTGAGTAGAGGGATTTGTCCTCTTGCTTCGAAGGAGAGCGTAAGTCGGTGTCTTCCCATTCCCTCTCCTCCCTTCCCCCAGCCAGCTGAACGGTCGTTTCTGTGCTGCTACGGAACAGAGATCACTTCCCTTGCAGCTGGAAAAACGCTGCGTCACTGGCAGTATTGCAAGCACAGCGCATCTCGCCGAGGGTCTGCCACGCGTTTTCTTCCAATTCCACGAGATGGGTGCATTCGTCCGTAGCCGACGCAGCGGGCTGACGGCCGCGTGTGAAACACTAATGCCCACGTGTGATTTCCCGCCTGTGGAAAGCAGCTGCCGGTCTGTGTTCGCTTTGGTCCATGCGTTGGGAAGGCTAGATGCAGCGATCCCCGAGCGGCACGTCCTCTGACGATAAGCCGGGGTCTCCCAACTGTACGCTGGGTTCTTTTTTTTTCTCTCAAATTTGTTATATTTCAATTTAAAGTTGCAGTTGTTTTGGTTTTTTTTTCCACGAGTCTCCTGCCTATACAGCGTTCCGCAAGGGCATCGAACCAGCATTCTCTCTCGGCTCGGTAGGTGAGGGCATCTTCTTTCAAGCGAAGTGACTGTATGGAATCTAGTGGTTCGGACTGTCTCGGCAGGCGACGGAGATGAAGAAATTGGGCTATCAACAGAGCACAGCACAAAGCAGTATTTGCTCTGCGGAGAGATGAATTGCAGCTGCCGTTTGCCTTCGGTCAGAGGCTAGGATGCCTCGCTTCGGTTTTCTTTGTGATCTCGCTGACTCCTTTAGAAGCACTGCGTGGATCTTTCTTGGCCCGTGGATCGGAAGCTGTAAATAACTGGACCGGAGTACAGAGGCCGAGCTGTTGCTTCGTGCAGTTTATTTAGCTGCAGCTTTTTTGCAGGGTTGCTGGTGTTCCTTTTAGGGACTCTGCCCCTCTGCGCTTTGGGGAAGAACGCCATCGTACTTGGCAGGAAACAATCCTGTCAGCTGAGATTTGTTTTTTCTTAGAAAAGCTTCAGTGGCAGGATTTTCGTATTGCTTTGTGTAAGGGTCTTACAACGCGCCGCTTTCAGTGAACCGTCCGAAATGCGTCTTAGTTACGAAGTCGCCTCGCGATTTCTTCGTAGCTTCAATTGTGAGCAGACTGTTGCGGAAGCAACGATTTCTGAAAAGCCTGTAAGAGCAGTCGTTTTGTTTGGTACAAACCGTGCGGCGTCATCGGTTCCAGAGAGCGATTTGCTGCGATCGCCCGACTTTCTTAGTCGTAGGTAACGCGTGTTATTTCCCGAATGCGAGCCGTAACACATTTTCCTCTCTGTTTACCCTTGTGTTTTCAGATCCAGCTGTGGGATACGGCGGGCCAGGAGCGCTTCAGGAAGAGTATGGTGCAGCACTATTACAGGAACGTCCACGCGGTCGTGTTTGTGTACGATATGACCAACATCGCCAGCTTTCACAGTCTGCCGTCGTGGATAGAGGAATGCAAACAACACCTCCTTGCCAGCGATATACCACGGATTCTTGTTGGCAATAAATGCGACCTGCGAAATGCTATTCAGGTACCCACGGACTTGGCTCAGAAGTTTGCCGATACGCACAGCATGCCGTTATTCGAAACCTCTGCCAAAAACCCCAATGACAATGACCACGTGGAGGCCATATTTATGACGCTGGCTCACAAGCTTAAAAGTCACAAGCCATTAATGCTAAGTCAACCCCCAGATCGCGATCAAATACACATCAAGCCCGAACCGAAACCCGCCGTGACCTGCTGGTGTTAAGTGTCACTCTTTGTTGCTGCCACCTCGTGCCCTGTGCCAACGCTCCCTGGTTACGATCTCGACGTAGATCAAGGGTTTGGTAGCAATTATAGCGAATCCCTTTGGCACTTTACTGTGTCGTTTGTTTTTTTTCTGGTGTAGATGTGCCCCTCTCATTTTCTTGCGCTTCCTTATTCCACTTCCTGAATTACTGAAGTTCCACTATAAATATGCAGGAAAGTAACCTTTCGGACGAAGTGTTAACAAAGCAAGTCTTGTCAAGTTCTGGCTCTCCGAGGTCGGTTTTGTCACTCGTGGCAGAGTAAAAGTAGTAAAACGGAGTGAAGCAAAGTAGTAAGAGGGTTTACTGATGTGTTCGGTTGCTGCCTGCGTTGGGATAACGTAGGAGGAGAAGCGTTTCGGGACAGCCGGGTAGCTCGACGAGCAGATCAGCAGGTGGCGAGGTTTGTGACGTGCAGAGGAGTATCGGATGCCTGCTAGCAAACTGAGAAGCGAGGGCCTGTTCTTCCTCTTTAAGTAAACATTTTAAAAGCAGACTGGACCATCACACTAAGGTAGAGCCGTCGGCGCAAGTGCAAACCGTGGGCTTCGGTGCCCTGTCGTCGTACGGTAAACCGCTTCTCCGTGGCAGCCGCAGGAGAGTCGAGCGAGTCGTCCCTGCCTCTAGGCGATTATTTGGTACGTAGCACTTCATCGGTTCGTCCTCCTTAATTGCGAGACTGATCCGTCCTTAAGGACAGTCCCGTAGCACGGGACGTGGGGGAAGAACCGGGACTAGAACTATCTTCAGCCTCTCTGACCTGACTAAGATGTAAATCTGCAATGAGGATTGGCTTGGTAAGTGTAAGCACTTGCCATTGAAATAAAAATAGGCGTGAATTTATCCGAGGCGTTCTGGGGCTTTCCAAGACGCAGCTTTTAGAGGATGCTCCTGCTGATAAACGCTTTTAAAATGTCTTGGAAAAGACAGCTTTTTGCAAGGCAACGTGCTCACTTGCTTTAGGGACGAGGACGCCTAGGACAGGCCCTTCCTTCGGGTGCCCCTTTCGATGCGCAAAGTCGTGCCTTACGTATTGGAAACTTGGAGGCCGCCGTACTGCGAGGAGCCGTGCTGTTCTGCGCTAGCGCGCACGAAGGCTGCTGCGGGTCGGTTTGCATCCTGATAAAAACACAGTCAGCCATTCACAGCGTAGGGAATAGCGCAATTTCTTTAACTCGATGTGAAGGCAAAAATTAGCTCTTGAATTACAGAGAAAAAAGTGCCACGTAGATCGCGTGTTACGAATGTCGGTTTCAATACGCCTGTGTCCCGGCCGTAAGCCGTGCCTGCCTGGCAGTGCGAGTCAGTAATTCCTCTTCTAGAACCGTCTTCTTCCACGTTCCCCTCGTTGCCACCATTTGCTCTGTTCTTTGAAGGTCACAGTTCGTGACAAAGGTGGTGCTGTGGTGCTTGGTTGCTGATGGTTACATCAAGGGAAATGTAATCCTTAGATTTCAGTGTACGACTCCGTATGCCACGGTCAGACAATATTTTCCCACTTGTTTTTTTTTGGAAGCAATGTAATGTCAAATGGAGGTGTTTGATTTGCAGTGTGAAACGCGTCGTGTGGGCTGGAAATAGGAAGGCCGGGTCAGAAGCTGCCAGCCCGGTGACGGCTAGAAACAAAGTACTGAAACAAAGTAGCTCGTACGTTGTGAGCTATGGAAATTGTGTCACTGAAGTGCAAGTTGCTCCCATAAAAGGGAAAATGTGTCCACTCTTTTCTAGATTTAGGAAAGCGTTCCATTTGGCCTGTTACGCTTAGGGTGTTTAAAAAGTGTGTATGCAGATAATATTATTCCTGTCCAAATGAAGCTGCTACGGTTCTGACTGCGATGTTGTTAATGCAACGTGTGTTCAGGGGAACTTCAGTGTTTGCTCTGATCCTTAGGGGACCGGGCTTACGGTGCTCTTTCAGCAGCGATCAGCTTGTTGAAAGTAGCGTCCTTAATGGTTTGAGGTTTTTTTTTGTTTTTTTTTTTTTTAACAAGGAGCAACCTGAAATTTATACGTGTAGCACTCTAAACGAACCATTTATTTTTCACTCACGTCCTGAACGCTTTTTCTCCAAAGGATCCGTCTTAACTGGAATGTTAGTATCTGAACTTGTGTGTTAGTAAGCGCGCCAGCAAACACTCTTTTGTTGTCGTTGTCTTTTGTGTTTGAATTGATGTGAGCGAAGCAGATCGCACAGAATGAAGCGTTCCGAAGTCAGGCTGGGGTCTGAGGTGAGGCAGCCATGTAGATACAGCGCCGATGTGAAAGGGGACGTCGGACATCTGCAGATCTGTTGCGCTCTGAGGCGTTCGCAACCTGTACATCAGGGTTCTCACGCCGTTCAGACGGCGTGGAAACAAACGATGCTTTCAGTATGTAATCTTGTCTTGAGCACACTGCATGTTTTAATGGCTCTGCCTTGAAGATAATGTGAGCATTCGGGCTTCGGTGCGCTTCCTGGCTGTCAGTCGTAGCGTTCTGCCCACGGAATCGATGTGAACAGCGCCGAACGCTTTGTATGCGTGTTTTCACCTTACCCGACTGTAACGTTGCATTGTTTTGTATGTGTTGGGGAAGGGTAAGACACACTGCCAGACACTTAACAACTGGCTTTGCCGCAGACTATTTGCACTTGTTTTCCGTAAAACGGTGATAACATTTCTCTTATTAAAATCCATAATAAACTGTCATAAAGGGAGGAAAATGAGTCTGTGTTTTTTTTTCAGACAACACGTCCCGGTATATGCCTTGCCCTCGGCGCTGTGCGATTTCTGCAAGCACCTAAAGAAGCCCCCTGACCATTCGTAGCACGTTCAGGTCGTGCGGGAGGTTTCCCGGAGAATGGCGGGCAATGAACGTTTCAAGCTGGCAGCTACAAGGGCAGCTACAAGGCCTTCCACGTACGTCGGTGTCCTCGGGGCGTCTCTGTCACACATTCGCAGTCCTACCTCACGTGCAGAAAGGAGAGCCCTTACCCTGCCACACGGCTGGGGCTCAGCAGATAGTCTCGCTGGCTGTTTGAAAAAAGAAGTCCCGGAGTCTCTTTTCTTCATCATGCTCTCACAAAAGGAATGCTGTTTGCAGCTTGAAGGGGGGATTCATAGAAAGGGTTGGTTTTTTGTTGTTTTTTCTGTCAGTTTGCTCTGCGAGTGCAAATGAAAGCATTCATACAGCTGAACAGAGTCTTCGGCGAGGCCTATAAAGCCACATTGATAGGGAAAGAATTGCTGCTGGCTTTGCCGTGCAGCCACCCGGCCGCAAAGTTGGAATCGGAGAGGCTGACGTGCGCCCAGGCCGTGCTGGAGGCGGCTGCTCGTAGCGCAGCAGGGTGTTGACACGGCCCAGAGGAGGGCCTGTGAGAGCTGCAGAAAGGAAAAGGGAAAAGGGAAAAGGGAAAAGGGAAAAGGGGGGGGGGGGCTGAAGGGGATAAACATTTACCATCCTTGTCTTCCTCTGGAGTTCATTCATTTCCCTAACAGAATCTGCTCCGTGTATTTTATCCTTGTTTATTCTTAGTGGAATTGTGATTTGAAAATACATTCCTGAAGATGTGTATGATTTCTGACATTTCTTTCAAGCCTTCAGCATTTGAATGAGCATCTTCCAGCTTGAGGAACTGCATTTTGCCTGCTTAAATTCCCCACACGATTTCAATTAGATAAATTCTTCTGCTGCTTTTTCTGTACTAAAATCATTCTGCAGCCTTGCTGCCGCTAAGTGGGGATCTTTCCGTAGAGGTGCTGGCCATGATCCCTGCACGCCAGACACGATATCCGAAACGAGCCGTGTTTGCTGCTGGATTAAAATCGTTTAGGAGAAGTTTTATGCTGGCTTAGAATTATTTTCGGCCGCCCGCAAGTGCTCCCCATTTAAAGGCACCTCCTTCACGGAGCATTTCTGGAACCCCTGCACAGAAAGCAGACCTTGCACACTCAAAGCATTTCCGGGGACTCCTCGAGGAGACCGTCCTTAAATCGGAGGCACATTGCCATATGGGAGTCACCCCACGGACAGAACCGAGGGCAGGGTTTGGAAGATAGTTCTCAGGTACATAAAAGCTCCGGAGCTAAGGGCAGCGGCAGGCACGTGGCAGAGGACCATTTCCCCTGTGCTTTCGGAAATGCTGCCAGGGCCTTTGAAGGGAAACAAACCTATTTTTCGACTGGAACGGGTTGCCCTGCGAGGCCGTGGGAGCCCCCAAGCAGGAAGCCTTCAAGGCCAGGCCGGAGGGGGCTGTGAGCAACCCGGTCCAGTGGGAGGTGTTCTCGCCTGCAGCAGGGGGTTGGAAGGAGATGCTCTTAAAGGTCCGACCCACAGCGTTCTGTGGTTCTATGATCCTATGATTCCATTTCCTGAACAAGGCAGTCACGCTGTCAGTCCAGCCGTGCCGGAAACCGTGCTCGCAGTTGTTCACCGCTGCGTTCCCTGTAGCTCTCGAATGCGGCATCGTCTGTGCGACGTATCGCATTCGGTTGTTTTGTTGAGGGAGTCGTGTTCTTTTTGAAAGATCACCCCAACGTTAAAGCAGAAATAGGGTCGATTGCACCTCATTTCCTCATGGCACATGGCGTCAAGTCAGTGCTTGAAATGAGACGCATGCAGTGGCATGGTACAGCGTGCGAAATCGAATGCTTGCCTTAGACAGACGTGTCGGGCGTACTGTCTTCGCAGTAGAATTTGTTTGTCAGGGAATATCTGTGCGTACACGCGCACACGTAGATACTTGCATCCCACCGGTTCTGCCTTGTCATGAGATCTGGGAAAAGGTACAGGCAAGGATCTGACTCTACACTGATTTCCTGCAGCTGCGCCTCCGGTTGCGATAATGAATCTTTCCTTGCAGTTCGTCCCCTCGATTGAGCAGTCACGCTCTTCCTTCCCTCCAGCTTCCCGCTAGCCTCGCTCCCAAACATTAGGCTGTGGCTTATTTTGTGACACACAACTTACCGTATGGCAAATAGCTATCATCAGGCCTATGCGCTTCCTTGCGTTTGGGGTTTTTTTGCACTCACATTCAATAATAAAGTGTAAGAAATATTTGTGGTCTCCGAAACAGTCATTGTTGAGGTAGCTGGAATGTAACGTGACATTTCAGTGCGTCCTCCCGGTCCTTTCCTTCTAGGCATCGACTGACTCATCTCCTCTGAGTTCGTTCTTATAGCACGATGGAGTCCTCAGGTGTCAATGGAAAGGTTCTAAACCGAAAACTACAAAAAGCACCTTCAGCTCCTTTAAATGATAGGGTTTCTGGCCGGCAGTTCTGCAGTACCGAACAGTTACGTGCACGTTTTGCAGTTTGCTTACAGTGAACACGCAGCGAGGAGAATTTGTTTTTACTCTGAAGGCTCACATTCGGTGCTTGCCAGCACAGCGCACAAAAACACAGCGAAATATTCAAAGTCGGTCATATCCATTTTACACCCGACAAACTGAACAAAGGCTAGCTAATTGCCATTTAATTGTAGCATCTGTGTAAGCGTTCATTGTCACCGTGGTCCCAGACTAGTCAGGTTTGTACTTTGTTTCATAAGTGCATATAAAAGTACATATATATATTAAAAAAAAAAAACAAAAAAAACAGCTAAGAAAGCCTTTTGTTAGGCTATGCAGGCTTCTGCCATCTATTCAGACCGGACGGCTCAGTCCGCACGCGAACCTGGAGCGAGATCGGGGTTTGCTGTGTTACGGAGGCTTATTGTCAGGGAGGGAGCTGCGTGACAGAGCCGCGTGGGGCAGCGTCCCCCGTGCAGTCCGAAGGTTATTGTTTGTTACCACAAACGGTCACTCGCTATGTTCACACTGGCCTGTGCAGCAGCTGCTTCATCTTGTTCGTAATGAAAGGGAGAAATGGCCCGTGAATCGGATGAACCGCTTGCCTGAGGAGGAACTCACCGACTGTCCTCTTCAAGAGCTGAGAGAGCAGAAGCGAGCGAAGGGCTCGGCAGAACAGTCGCATTATTTTTCTGCCCATGTTCAGTCTGAACCCGATCGGGTCGGTGATCGGCGTCACCGGCCACGTTTTTTAGCGGGATCCAAAAGGACAGGCGCAGCACCACCCTTTCCACACGCCCCACTTGTTGTTTTACAGACACTTTGTGGCCTGCTGGCAGCACGCACCGGCCCCAAGCCCATTTAAGTAGCTCTGCAAAGGTTTTCCTGCCCGATCCACAAGTGTCGTTAGCAGCTTTATTCTCTGCAGTGCCACCGACGCAGGCAAAGACAAGTGGGGATGGCCGCAGTGTCTCCGCTGTCCGCTGCTGCCAAGAGGCTGCCTCGGGAGCACGGGCAGTCTCTTAGAAACCGGAGCTGCGCTCCGGATGCTCTGATTCACGAGGGAGCGGGCTGGCCCGTCCTACAGAGGCACGGGCAATAAGGGAGGTGCACCTCAAAAGCACGTCGGCTAGCGCCAAGGGTTGTCATTGCAGTGCCCGGATGACAGCTCGTACAGAATTTAAGTATGATAACTGTCATAACAGCACAAACCACTGTGATAAGACTAGGTGGTTTTTCCTGATTTGCCGTGGCATCCCCGAGGGTAAGCAGGCACTTCAGTTCTCAGCTTTGCACTTTATTTGAATGCTATCCACCTCAAAATCGAGCCTGCAGCGTTCAGAATAGAATCCTGACAGCACGCACCTCGAGCTGTGCGCATTGCAATGAGAAATGGATTTGCCAGTGCGATTTGTCGTCTGTGTGCGTGTCTGTGATAAAGCGCCTTCACTTGAGAAGACGTCGGAGCACCGGAAGACAGTCAGAGAGACGGCGAGTGTTGTACCAAAGCAGATCACAAGGAACACTAATACGCTTGGTGTGTTACGCATGTATTTTTTGTGAATGGCAGTTAGAGATTTCACACAAAATCCAATAAGCTCTAATTGCGCACAGGAGCGCCCTATAGCTTTCGCCTCCCCCCAGGCCGCGGCTCCAGCGTTCATCCGCAGCCTCGCACCATTCATCCTAAGTGTGCTGGCACCCCGTTCACAGCGCAGGGACACCCACGGTCACCTGGCGCACGGGGACGATCACTGAGCCGGCCCTAAGGGTTCCACGATCTCTGTCAGCACCCTGTCAGCCCTAACGAGGCCCGCCTGTGCTGACAACGCAACGACTCGCAGGTGCAGCGGGGGCCCGGCTGCCCAGGCACAGGTGCGCCTGGTTAGAAGCCCTGGGCAGGGCCCTCCCACAGCCCTTTAAAAACCCTTTCGGAGGCTGCTGGGAGCCACACAGGATTTCCTGCTGCTCCTTGTTGTGGTGGGTGAGTGCTGGGCTCTCTTGCTGCTTGCAGCGGAGGACTTTTGCGAGATTCCTGCTGGGCTTTCCTTGCTTTGTGGGTAAGTGGGGTACTGTTTTCTGGTTCTTATTTTGGTTTTGTTTTTTTTCTTTTCAGGAGTTTGCACTGGATTGCTGCTGGATTTCTTGAGATGAAGCACATTCCTGCTCCATGTGAGAGCTACAAGCCCTTCCGTTTGCACCGACGGGAGTGTGAACAGCGTGAAGCATGGCGTAGCTGTGGGTGAGAAGCATGGTGAGAGGTTGCTTCAGTGTTGTTTTCTTTTTCAGCTGCCGGTTCTTCACTCTAAGCTTTTGGTTTTTGTGTTCTTTTGCAGGGCGAGGGCTGCAGCGGAGCCCCTTGCAGCGAGGATCAGCGCAAACCTGCAAGCAGCTACGGCAGTAGTAAGGCCGTGGGCGTTGAGAGCAGGGGGCTCAGGGATGCGCTCTCCATCCCTTAGCGGAGGGTCTGCCGCTGGGGATTGGAAAGCACAGGGGGCTCCCAGGGCTCCCTGTCTGCCCTGAGGAGGCTGCTGGGCTTTTACCCTGCTTTATGGCGCTGTTGCAGGGATGATGGTGAGTTGCCTTTGATTCTCAGGTTCAGTGTTGAGTTGCTGTTCAGCTCCCAGCTCTTTACTTGGGGGTATTGGAGTAGGGTTGTTTTTCCGCTCCCTGAGGCCTAGTGTAGCTCTGTATTAGGACTGTGAAAGCGATCTGGGTAATGGATCACCTGTTGTACGAGGGTGGGCTGTGGGAGTTGAGGCTGTTCCTCCCGGAGAAGGCTTCAGGAAGTTAAGAGAGCAGCTTTTAAGGGAGAGAAGGGAGGGCTTGTAAGAAAGGAGGGCAGTGTGTTCTGCAGGGTCTGTTTTGGCAGAACAAGTGTATTTCTAACATTTTAGAAGGCCGATAAGGTATCCTGGGCTCCCCTATAAGAGGGGTAGAGACAGGGAGGGGTTTGCTTTACTTTGCTCTTGTGAGGCCCTATTTTCAATTCTGTATGCAGGTCTGCGGTTCCCCGCAGCGGAAGGACGTGGAGCCGGAGGGACTCTGGTATGAAAACGGGGTGAGGGAGCTGGGCTACTTCGGGGGAAGAGAAGGTAGCAAGGAGATCTAATTGCAGTCTTTTAGTATTCAAAGGGGTTTACAATAAGGAGGGGAATCAACTTTTTTTCACTTGAGTAGACAGACATAGGACAAATTGGACAAGGGGGAATAGTTTTGAGCTCAAGGGTTAGTTTGGCCTTCAGGGGAAGCTCTTCAGCGGTGAGGCACAGGAACAGGCTGCAGAATAGCAGGATGACAAACAATGTGGCTTAGTATCAGATGGGTAGGTTGGATCTCCACTCTCCTCGGAGTCCTTTGCAATCTAGGGTATTTTATTATACGGTTTTCTCCTTGCAGGGAGGTCATATCACGAGAAGTACTTTGCTGCAGGGGAGCAGAGAGTCCGGATGGGGCTTTAACTGACCTCGTTCGAATGTAAGTGTGTCTGTGTACACCTGTGTGGGTACATGATTTTTAAGGGTGTCCTAACATAACCAATTCTATTAATCTTCTTACAGGTCCAGGGCCAGAGGGAGGAGTAGTGCGGTGTGAAGCCATAGGAGGCCTTACAGATGGAGGTGAGCTGTGCCTGTGTGCAGACCGCAAGCGCCACCCCTGGCCCGGGCTGGATTTTTTTGTTTGGTTTTGTTTTTTTTCGGAGCCCCTCCCGCTCGCCGCACTGGGGGGTGAGAGAACTGGGCACGGCTTTTGTCCTCCCGCTCATCCTTCCGGTGCCGACGTGAAGCAGTACAGGGGGGCAGTTGGAAGGAGACGAACGCGTGAGAAATTGCTTTGTTTCACTTGATCTTGTTTTTTCTTTCTTTGCCAGGCGAGGACCGCAACGGGGAGGAAGCGCCGTCCTCCCTCGGGAGGGCGCGTTTCCTGCCCCGGCAGCGTGCGGCGGAGGATCCCCGGAGGAAAGGGGCCGTCGCCGGGAGTCGCACGGGGAGCGCTGCTCGTACAGCCCTTCCTTGTGGGAATCGCGGGTCCCGACGTTCCCCGGCGTTTTCCTTTTCAGGTCCCGGTGCGGTCGACGCCGGAAGCTGCAGCGACGAAGCAGGACCGTGCTTAGGACGATGCAGGTTGAAGCGACCGCCGATGGAGCGGGCTGACCCTCCTTCCCGCGGTGAGCGTGCCTGGTGTTGGCGCTTTTTGGGATGTGACAGAACGCGGACCTTTCCCGGGTCTATCGAGCAGCATCGACTTAGTTTGGTTGGTTTCCTTTCAGCTTCTGGCAGCATTAGCGGTACCCGCGATGTGTGTGGGCTGGATTGCGTGCTGCGTCTGTCCTCTCACCAGGAGTCGGGATTGCCAGGTAAGTGCGTACAATTATTTCGTTCTACTGGGTTTGTTTTTCGTGTGTTTGAATTACTGGTTGTGCAGTAAGGCTGATGTTGGTTAGTCAGATCCATCTCCTGGTTGTCTGAGGCAACGGCTTGCCGTCTTTGGAAGCGAGTCTTGGCTGAGGCTGTTATTGTTGTGAACTCCGCTTTAGGGATGAAGTTGGGTGCTTACATGCACAGTGGTGGTTTCTTTTCGGTTTTTAAGCTTTCTTGCCTGTGTGTCTTTGAAGTAGATGGTTATGGCTTTTTTTTTTTTAATTGAGTGAGGTAATGGCTGTGCTTGGTTTGGTAGAAGTGCTATTGACGGTATAAGAATTAGTCACTATGATTTTTGGGGCTTGTGTCCGCTGTTGACTTTAAGTTGAAGAGTTAGAGGTTACTGGGTTTGGCTTCGGGTGATGTGATTTCACGTTGTTTTCCGGGGGCTCTTGGATGTGGTTGGCAGAACCCTTTCGGGAAGTGTTTTGTCTGGCGTTCCTTGGAGTTGTAGTTTAGTTATGTTTGGCATTGGACTAAATGAGTTAACTTGTTATTTTTAGTAGAGTCTCGTTTGAGTTGTTTTGCTGTGTTAGTTTTTTTTTTTTTATGGAGTTACTTGTTGTTGATTAGTTCTGTTTGGTATTGGAGTAAGTGAATTGATTTAGATCATTATAGTAGAGTCTTGTTTGATTTTCTTTCTTACGGAGTTGCTTAATGTTTTGCATTGGTGAATTGTTTTTTTTTTTTTTTTTAGTGGAGTGTCGCTTAAGTTGCTGTGCTTTTTTAATGGATTTCCTTGTTGTAACTTGGTTTTGCACTAAGTGAATAGTGTGTTTTTTTTTTTTTTATGGAGTTTCTTGTAGATGTAATGTTTATTTTTTGGCTCGGTTGTTTTGGACTTTGAATTGTTCTGGTTTTTTTTTTCTTTTTTTAGTGGAGTGTTGTTTAAGTTGTTGTGCTTGTTTTTTAATGGATTTCCTTGTAATTCGGTTGTATTTGGTTTTGCAGTAAGTGAATAGTGTGTTTTTTTTGCGGTGTTGCTTGTAGATTTATTGGTTTTTTTTCTTTGGCTTGGTGAGCTGTTTTCTGTATTTTTTTAGTAGAGAGTTGCTTAAGTTGTTGTGCTTTTGTTATGGATTTCCTTGTAAGTTGGTTATGTTTGTTTTTTTTATGGTGTTACTTGTAGATTTAATGGTTTATTTTTTTTTTTTGGCTTGGTTTTGGTGAATTGTTTTTCTTCTGTAGTAGTCTTCGGTTTTTTTTCTTGTGTTTTTTGAAGCTTGTTTTTATTTGGTATTTCACTAAGTGTATTGATGTGGGCATTTTCTGTCGGTTTTGTTTGGTTTTTTTTGGGGGGGGTGTTTGAATTTTTTTGAATGCTAGTCCGCGAAATTTGCACTATCTCTAAAGAGATATTTTTTTTTTTTTTTTTGGAGGGTGGGTGGGTTCGACTGTCTGTTTTTTGAGAGGCTGGCCGGGCGGGAGCGCCCCCGTGGCGCCAGGGGCTGAGGAGCCCCTCCCGCCCTCCCGGCCCCTTCGGGGCTGAGGAGGCCCCGAAGGGCCCCCTGCCCTCCCCTATCTCCCTCCCGCCCTCCCTGCCCCTATGGGGCCGAGGAGGCCCCGAAGGGCCCCCTGCCCTCCCCTATCTCCCTCCCGTCCTCCCTGGGCCCAAGTAGGCCCTGCTGCCCCCCTGCCCCTTTGGGGCTCCCTTTGGGGGGGGGTACTGAGATGGGCATTCCCCTTAGCTTTGGGTAATGCCCTGGTTCTGGGGGACTCGCTGGGGTGACTGAGTGTATGTAGCTGTGTTCTCGGAGTGGGCCCTGGTAGCATACACTGTGGCCCAGGGGTTGTCGTGGTCGCAGGCTCAAAGAGAGGAGGCAGGACTTGAATAAATTTGGGTCTGGGCTTTAATGAAGAGCAGATAGGTGCCTGGGAAAAATTCTTTGCTGGTGTGGATGGCTGTGAAATCCTCCTGCAGCAGGCAGCTGAGTGTTCTTCCTTGGTTCACGATGAGTATTCTGCAACAATAAGCATCTTCACCCTAAAGTCACTGGGATCAATAGAACATGAGGCTTTTCCCACATGGATTGCTTAGTCAGAGGTGCTTGTTCCTTGCTCTGAGGATTCTGCTGTGGTAATCCATGCTACTTGCTAGAATGAGGAGAGGTGTTAATTTGAGGTGGAGACAGGGGTCAGCTGTTAAACTTAGAGGAGCAATAGCGTTGATGTGGGCTTACCGTCTCAAACAATAGCGTTGATGTGGGCTTACCGTCTCAAACAATAGCGTTGATGCGGGCTTACCGTCTCAAACAAACAGTTGGTCTTTCTAGGTTTGAGCCACAATGTTAGCTACGTTGTGATACCCCACTGGCAGCCAGGCTTTTAGACTAAAGCGCTACCATAAGTTGCTCTGGTACTCGAATCCCAAAATGACATCTTAACTGCAGCTAACTTCTCAGAGGGGCTCCCCAGTTAAGTATGACAGCTGAAGCCTCTGCTACAGCTGCTGGGAATAGCCCTGCTAAGCCGGACTTGGGCTGGAAAAACAAAAATGAATGTCTTGTAAATCCTAGCTGTGTGGGAATGCCACTGGCTGTAGGGACCTTACCTCTTACACAGGGATCCCAGGAGACGAAGAGCTCAGCGTTGGCGGTTCTGACGCTGGAGGTGGCTTGGTGGCAGCTTGCTGTCCTTGGATTCCTGGTGAAGCCGGCTCAGTACGTATGGCGGGGCCTCGAGTAGCGCTTCAGAAGCGGAGGAAGCTGGCTGCTTGGTTGTTCTCTGCTTGTTTTTCTTTTTTGGGGAAATACTCCAAGTCCTGCAAACGCAAAGGAAAAAAAGTAAAACAAATGCTTCTCGGATTGCCTACCTTCTACTAACATATGTGCCAGATGATGTGTACTAAAATGTAAGTGCAAATAGGTGGCATGAATAGCACTGAAGGAAAAAGAAACTAAGACTTGCTGCCGGAACTGCTCTATGTAACTTACTTTCCTGCGGGCTTGCAGGTGAACTTCATTGTATTTGTGGATGGCAGCAAAGAGATGCTGTTATTTATCTTAAAACTTACAGGGAAGAAAAACTGCTGCTGCTAAGCAAAGCACCTTAAATGGATTCCTGTGACTGCGTACCTAGTTTTCCAGACAGCCGTTGGAGAGGCTGCTCACCAGCATAAGACAGGTCCGAAGGAGCTGTTGCGGGTGACAAATAAAAAGGCGCTTATATGTCAAGAGGAGTATGCAAAAGGATTGCCGTTCACCCTTGCGAAATGAACTGACGCTGCTATATTTTGTGCTCCCTTAAACTCAATTAACAGAAAGAAATGAGGTGGCTGCATTGAAAGATGCTTGCTGTTAAATAGCAATTGGTGGGAGCAGCCCAAGTAGTGCTCGTAATGTGTGCGGCAGCAAGAATTCCTAAACCTCAAAGAGAAGATGTAGATGGGAAGCAGCGAATGCGTCCAGTTAGCAAGTGGCTCGATACTTCTGTTCTTTGCGAGGCTGCTGTTGTATTACATTACATAGATTAATAATATTGTAATTCAGTACTTGTTCCCTTCAAAAAACTTCTCGCAGCGTTCTTTTCTGCGATGATATTTGAATGTGGCTTTTGCCAAAGAGCTGTGACATCAGCTGCCAAAATCCTGTAGTACTACTGTGGTCACATCCTGTGACCGGAAGTGGCTTGCAGGAAAACAAAAAAAAAACTTGCCACTTGGACTGCTTAATAATGTTAATCAAGTTTGTTCACCCTGGGTGTTTCATTCTGCTGTCTACTTATTTCCAAATGGATGCCCCACTCTGAAATATTCTGTAGGAAATAAAAGAAGTGAAGTCAAAAGGTGAGATGAACAGCTAGAGAGGAATGCTGCTGTCAAAAAAAAATCTCGTTGAGAACCTGAAATAAAATTGATGTCATAAACTGTTTTTTTAGTGCAGTTGAAATGATTACTTAAACTATAAGAGCCAGATCCATTGATGTCATAAACTGTTTTTTTTTAGTGTAGTTGAAATGATCAATTAAACTATAAGAGCCAGATCCATTGATGTCATAAACTGTTTTTTTCAGTGTAGTTGAAATGATTACTTAAACTATAACAGCCCGTTCCAGTGATGTTATAAACTGTTTCTTTCAATGTAGTTGAACTGATTACTTAAAGAAAGAAAAGCTCACTTGAATGAAGCTCACTAAGGTGCAAACTCTGCTTTATTCTTTAGAAGTAAGATTCTCACTTACCCGTGTTGCCTGGGGAAGAGAACTGGGCTGGGGACGCTGCAATTTCAACCCTGCTTGCTGTTCTAGCGTATCTGATGCAAAGGTGGACTCCTCTGGCACGATGGAGCAGGTGAATTCAGACTTGTCTTCTGGGGTAGAAAAAGAAAAAGTTGTTTATCTTAGGAGTTTCTTCTGTTGTGTGAAGCAAAAGAAGGCCGGTTGGGCTCAGCGTTCTTTGATAGCACGCTTAGCTGAATACCTCCTCTCCCTTATATCCCTTAACCAAAATAAAGCTTATAAAAATAAATAAACTTTATGCTTTTAAAGGAAGCTTTCTACCCTATTTTTTTTTTTTTTCTTTTAAAAGTTTCTTATCTCCTGCAACTGCGTAGAGCTTCCTCCTATGATTGGCTCCCAGATACCTGGAAAGGAGGTGGCAGGTTGCCCTTCCTCGGCACTAAGTTTTATCGCTCCTCTTTTTTGATTATTATGCTGCAAGTGCACGGCTTGAACCTGTCTGGCTTGTGAGGAGTGTTTGTATGCGAGCCTGAGTTAGCCAAGCCCTATCTGCTTGTAGCTGTCTCAATTAACTGTCTCTCTGCAGCCTTTGCTTTTAAGTAAGTCCATTCATAATTTCGGAATAGCGGCGGCGATAGCCAGAAACTAAGTCCACCTTTTGGTGGAGGAAGTGAAATGAGAACTGTTTATTTATGTCCCAACTTAAATTTTACCCTTTTTTAAATGAAGTATGAGACAACTGCCACTACCAGACTAAAGTCTATCTTTGTTTCTTTCAGGAGTTTGATGGAAGGCTGGACAAGGCTCTGAGTGACCCGATCTACCTATAGGTGACCAGGATAGGCACCAGGAAGCTGGACCAGGTGGCCTTCGACGGTCCCCCTCTCTCCCAGTGACTTGAAAACTGCATTAAGTCAGACAGTGCTTCAAGAAAAGGGAATCTTGGAGATATGCTAGCAGAAATTTGATGATGTAATTGAGCAAACTGTTTTTTTTCAATGTAGTTGAAATGATCAATTAAACTATAAGAGCCAGATCCAGTGATGTTATAAACTGTTTCTTTCAATGCAGTCGAAATGATCAATTAAACTATAAGAGCCAGTTCCATTGATGTTATAAACTGTTTTTTTCAATGCAGTTGGAATGATTACTTAAACTATAAGAGCCAGTTCCAGTGACGTTAGTAAGAATGATAAATACTGTTTAGTTCTCTTGTACAGCTGTAAGTATGCTATAGTTTAGATACCTTTCCTGTGTAACATCCAGGAGATATTGCATTTGTTTTATACTTTTCTTGCATGGCTGTATGTTTATCAGAAAATGGAAGAAGACCCTGCTTTGTAACACTTAGCTGATTTTATGCCTTTGTAATAACTTTGCTGACTCAATAAACTATTTTTACAACTGTGGTAATACTCAGCCTTGCTCTGGTGTGTCTTTCTGCCTTTTACTTAGTGAATGTAAGGTATAATAACTTAAAATTAGCTTCCAAGAAGCAGTTGTACTGGGTTTGATAGGTTTTACTTCACAAATGCCCCTTTCCCCAGTGATGCTTCAATATTTCTCCACTCCTGGAATTTTCCATCTTGGATTCCGTATGTGCCACTGTCACGTGTAGCTACCTAACTGCTCTCAGGCTTAAAGGCTTTGTGCTCCAACTCCTTCTCTCCACCTCCTGCTGTGGAGTTTCTCTAGTGTCACATTACCGAAATAACTTCTGTACGATGTGCTTTCAAAATAGACAGCTGGTGTTTTGTCAGAGTTTTCCTCGCACAATGTTATTGAGGAACATTCTCTTTCCCCCTGTGTATTTTAATGATCTGTACTTAATTAGAGACTAATGCCAAATAAAGGACCAGTTTTCCAAAACAAAGCCTCTCCAATTCTGGGCAACAAGGCGTCTTAGACTCTGCATGCCAGCTGATTGTATGGCTAAAGGAAAAAGTTTTCCCTTGACATACCTACACCACGAAACAAGCACCTTCCGTATAATTCACTAGCACGTTTTACAAACTTCTGCAGTAAGCTTTCGGTGTTTTCAAGAGTTGCTTTTGTGTCTGCTCAAACAAAAGCTCGTTTGCCACTATCGGCAGGCATAGCAGTTGCCGTTAGACCCCGCGGGGTGGCTAAAGGCTGCCCGGCTCTTCTCTCACCCAAGAAAAACTAATGGGTCGAGATAGCAGTATTCACACAGATAAAGAGAAGGCGACTACTTCCAACAGTATATGTGAATGCATGCTTCTGTATGTAACGAACGCTAATCCGCTAATCGCTCACGGCACCACCCCAACCATGCACAGCTGAACACCCACAAAGCGACAGCCTCAGGTGAACTCTCACCCCTTCCGAAATCTTGCTGCACGACGTGGAAGCCTAAGACCGGTTTAAGTCGGGTGTCGCCATTCTGTCCCCTCCCAGCCCCTCGGGCGCGTCGCTGAGAAAGGGGCCCTGGCTCTGAACGATACTACCGAGCTGCAAATGTAAACGTCACTGAATAAGCACCACTGTTTTCCTCCTACAACCCAAATGGAGCCTCAAACCGGGAGCTTTAAAAAAAAAAAACAAAAAACATTCAGTCCCAGCTGCAACTAACACCATACCTCTTGATTATTAAAAACTACAAGACATGAGCTCTGCTACCAAGAGACCGTATATGTATGCCCTGTGTTCTTAACTGGCACAAGTTGTTGTACAACAGGACACGTTGAAAGAACTGCTTACAGTTATACGAAAAGACAATTGTTTGCTCTTCTCATTTACATATTCAGAAATTTCCATTAAAAAACCCTCAAGCTAAGACTAAATACATATATATTTTTATATATATATATAATATATTTATTTATATTATATATATTATATATATATTTAATATATTTATATATATAATATATATATTTATATATTTATAGATTTATATATATTTTCTCGCTGAACAAAGACCAAATCTTAGCATATCAGGAAAATCTTCAGTTGGAAGGGACAGCAGGGATTATCGAAGGCCAAAGCCCCGTGCTGAGATCCCACCCCAGAGCGCACCCCGAGATAACGTTACAAATAGTGGGTCAGGGGTTCAATACCGGCACCGCTGAGGGATGGATTGCAGGATTCATTACTGCACTGCGGTCCTGCAGCGCCGCGCCTAAACTCTCCATTCCGAGCTGCCCACCCTCATTTCCGTTTCAGACGTTTCAGACACGATGAGGTATCGTATCTGAAGCAGTTGCAGAACAACGGAAAGCAAGCTGACATTTCTTGCCAAGATAAAACTATTTATGGAAAAATATAACGCAGTTGGCGTCTATGCTCAGGACTTCCACGTATTCAAGGACTAAAGACGTAGAAAAAAAAAAACAATAAACTCTGAGAAAGCACTGGCCGTGCCAGTCATCCTAACATTACTTGGCCTTATTTCTTTATTTCCCCCCCACACACACACGCACACTTTCAAGAAAAAGCAAGAGAGGTTCATTTCTTGCAGTAGGAAAGTAAAATCCAACTCCCACTCCAAATCCAGTTCCACCCGATGGTGACGTTCCCACAGTTTACCTTTCCGCAACGCAGAGGTGTGAGTAACTAAGTAACAAGATAACTATCCAGTTGAACCCTACCCGCGGAGCTCCGAAGCCGCGCTCTTCGCGCCGACAACATTGAAGTCGTTACAGGACAGTTGCGGTGCTCTGCGTTCTGGCGATGGAAATAACCCAAGCGCGTACGTAGAACGCTGGGTTAACGGCAACAAAGTTGCAACAGCCTGGCAAAGAGAGGCCTCGTTAAAGCTCTTGCAAAAGCAAAAGAAAAAGCTCCCTCGCCAGCAGCAAGTAAGTGCTGGAAATTACCGGTTTCAAGGTAACGTGAGGGAAAGAGGAGAGACACAGCAGAGCCGCAAGATCGTGGGCTGCGGTGAGAGAGGGCTCGCTCAAAAGCAACGGCCTGAGCACACGAACAAAGGGGAAAAAACACCTACTTACCTTCAAAAAGTCTTATTAGGCAGAGACCACAAGAGAGAAACACTCTCTCGTCCTCTGCCGGCCCTAAAATGAGGACGGGAAGGGGTGCGCCCTAGCTCCGCCCCTTGCGCTCGCTACAGAACATTGCCTGCACCTGAGCTCCCGTGGGTGGGCCCGGCTTTGCCCCAGGTGCTCAATCACTGCTTCGGGCCCTGACTGGGCCCTTCTGCTTCATTAGCATTCAGAAGGCGTTGCTTCCTAATTATTTCATCGCCCTTGTCAGCTGATCCACGTAATCACAATTACAATGAGATCACTGTAATGTTAATCCAACATCGCGATTACAATGAGAGCCACTAAAAAACAAAACAAAACAAAACAAAAAAAAACAACAATAAAAGGATCAAAATCCATTTCCAACAGAAAACCTGGCTGCAGTTACACAGGAAGAAAATACTTCTGAATCTATACTAAACGTACAGCCATGGAAAGTTACAAATGTAATCGAAAAAAACCGTAATTACACATACACGCAGGAATCCAGAGCGCTGCTCGACTGACAGAATGCCCAGCCGCAAAACACTCCTTTTCACCGCGCTCACCGCCCTTAGCTATGCGCCAACGCCGCAAAAGACAAGGCGTCCCTTTCGGAGCGACCCTCGTACTCGGCGTCACATAGAGACACCTGTTCGTTCAGAATGGGAAGGTCGCAATCCCGCCAGTGCCATTTCATCCAACGTGTGTTCGTCCCATTAACGGATGCTTTCGTTCGTTTCTGCATCTCAGCGACAGCCTCGAGAACTCAGCTCGAAAAAACCTCTGCTCACCCTTTAACAGACCTATACGTATTTTAGCGACCTAATCGAAGCAAAGGAACAACAGAGTATGATTTAGGGAACAGTTAGACAACTAGAGGACCATCCGGAGAGCGGCTACTCCGTCTTTGCACAACCTCCTTTTGAACAATTTTCTCCAATAACACATTCCTTACATTCAATTTCTTTCCAAATTAAATACACTATTATACACGAACTTTGCCGATGACCTAACTGAACATTAGTTTCATGCAGTGAAAAGGGGAAAGGAGAAAAATTAGGAAAGGAAAAAGGGCGAAGGAAAAAAAAACACCGTCTACCACGCCTGCCCCCTCCACCAACTGCTGCGACGCTCGGGTACTCACTGGATTTCAGGGACTAGACGAAAACCGTATCTGACAGGACCCAAAAGCGCAGGGCTCCTCTCGCTCCTCCCGTCTGCTCGTCATAAGCCTCCTTTCCTTACAAAATCTTCACATTAGGTCCTGCTGTAAGACAGCTCCGTAGCTCTGTGAAGCATGCCCGTACGGTTCAGTGCTAAAAGAAGCCACCTGCTTCCCTGTTCGATTGTGAAAGCAGCACGGCAGCTGCCAGTTCTGCACTTCGAAAGCGCGGTTTCTTTCTGGCTTTCAGCGGCAGATGCGTTTACAGCGACACATTGTAACAAGGACGAGCACGGCCTCTCTCACGCTTTATGAGCTCTTTTTCAGAACATTTTGCGCCCTTTGAGATGCCAATGACTTCCCCTCCCCCCCCCCCCCCCCCCAGGCTTCCATGAATAACCCTCAGAGAACTGTCACGCTGACCTATCTGTGCACGCGCAGAATGGAATTGTAAACTGCAAGAGCGTGGAGATCTCTCTGATAACAGCCTGTATTTTTTAAGGGACCTGGGGCTGTTGGTTGATGCTCGGCTGAACAGGAGCCGGCAGTGTGCCCAGGTGGCCAAGAGGGCCAACGGCATCCTGGCCTGCATCAGAAATAGTGCGGCCAGCAGGAGCAGGGAGGTAATCGTCCCCCTCTACTCAGCACTGGTGAGGCCGCACCTCGAGTGCCGTGTTCAGTTTTGGGCCCCTCACTGCAAGAAAGACATTGAGGCCCTGGCACGTGTTCGAAGGAGGGCAACTAAACTGGGGAGGGGTCTGGAGCACGAGTCTTATGAGGAGCAGCTGAGGGAGCTGGGATTGGTTAGTCTGGAGCAGTCTCAGGGGAGACCTCATTGCACTCTACAACTTCCTGAAGGGAGGCTGTGGTGTTAAAGGGTCTGGCCTCTAGTCCCAGGCTAATAGAATCCGAGGAAACAGCCAGAAGTTATACCAGAGGAGGTTTAGCTTGGACATGAGCAGAAACTTTTTCTGTCAGAGGGCGATCAGGCACTGCAATCGCTGCCCAGGGAGGTGGTGGAGTCACCGGCCCTGGCAGTGCTCAAGAGGCGCCTGGATGAGGAGCTACGAGATGTGGTTTAGGAATAGGAATGGGAGGGTGGTTGGACTAGATGATCTTGCGGGTCGTTTCCAACCTTGCGGTTCTGTGATTCTGTGATTCTGAGATTCACTGAACTGCTGTAGCAGAGCCAGGGAGACCAAGCAACAGCTTGGGTGAGGACCTTCATCGATGATCCGGAGAGCACTTCTGCTATACATCAGGCCAACCCATTTTTCTCTACAAAACGAGAACTGTCCCTGCCCAGAGTCACTTCCCGCACAGAACGCATTATCACACTGGAACGGGCAACTCTGCGGCCCTTGCGGCGCGGCAGAATTGTCCTCTGGCTTCTCCTGCACTTTCCCATCAGCGCACCTGCTGCTGCGGCCCCGACGGGGCCGAGGAAAAAAGGAAACTGTCCTTACTGTCAGGCATTGCTATGACGAGGTGGGAAGTGATAAAAGCCCCAAGAAGCAGTTAGTATATACGTATCCCAACCTGCTCACAACCACAGTCTCCTGAGGAGCTCTTCTATGGAGCTCCTTCTCTGGATTTCCACGTAGGAAACGGCTGCGGCACATATTCCACGCTCAGTGGAATGCTAACTCACAGAAACCGGTTGCTTAATTGATGTTGCATTACAATGTCTGATCAGCGAACAGCCTGCCAAGTAGCAAAAGCCTGGGAGGAGCAAATGCCAAGTTCGTCGCTCCTGGAGGTGCTGGGGACGGTGCCTGCATGCTGAATAGTGTCCTCCAGCTGCCACCTGGGGAACGCTGGGGGTGAGAGAGCCGCTGCCGGGCTTTGGGGGAACGTGATGCACGCGTGGAGCACCTACTGCGTATAGCTCTGGAAGCTGCAAGCACGAATACATTTTCTGCACTGCTACCCAACGATAGAAACTGGCAGGGAACGGAGGTACAGTTTCCACCAATTTCCACAATGCAGGTGTTTCCTTGCTCGAAGCTCTCCTTCTGTAAAAGGACATGGTGCATGGTGCAGCCGTAAGGGCTCCAGGGTGCCGGTACCGTGATAGCGGTGCCGCAGTCGCACCTCTGACAGAAAACCGATTTGCAACACACAGACAGATGCTGGGAGTTGTGCAGCTGCTGCTGAACAGACTGCGTGTGGTTCTACAGTTTCTAGTTTCTGGTTTCTAGCGCGCTCCTCTTCTACACTCCTACTTCAGAACAGACCGATAGGGCGACTCCTTCGAGGGGTCCTCGGTGGGTCTCCTTGTCCCCGAGCGTCACTGTCGCTGCTTCCAGGCTGCACGCATCGTTCGGTTCTGTCCTATCATCTCCCAGTATAAGGCACTGTTACAAAGCAATATCTCCGGTGGGACTGCAGCATCCACCTGGGCACGGAGTGGTGGCTGAGTGGCACCGTTCGACAACAAAACGCTTCCAGCAAGGTGCTCCTTCAAAGGCAAAATCTGTGAGAAGACAGAGAATCAAAGCCGACATGGTATAAAGAATCGGCAGTCACGCGAACCTCTCGGGGAGCCTTGCTCGCTTTTAATCTACAAGGACAACAGTTTCTGTTACTCAAAGAGAAAAAACAATCCGTTGCAGGCTGCCAGAAGCATCGGAGGGTGGGAATGCTCTCACGCGCGCTGCTTTGATGCTTGCTACAGTACCACAGACAAGGCACGGCATCACTGTCTGCTTCACGTTGTGGCTTACTACGTTAAAGACAAATAATGTAAAACAACAGAGTGACAGACAGTCAGGTGGAAGCTCACGGTGGATTCTCACAGACTGATTACCTGCAGTGAGCAGGCCCGGCGACTGAGATTTCGGATGCACCCGGGTGCCGAGGGGAATGTAGCGAGGTGCCAGCTTCTGTAAGCAATCTTCAATATGCAGCTTAGGGTTTAGAACCATAGACTCGTAGAATTGCTCAGTTAGAAAAAGGACCTGAAGGATCATCAAGTCCGACCACAACCGCGCTACCCTCACTTTAACAGCCCTCCGCTAAATCCTGTCCCCGAGCACCACAGCCGAATGGTTTGTAAGCACGTGCAGGGATGGTGACTCGACCGCCTCCCTGGGGAGCCCATTCCAGTGCTTAGCAATCCTTCCTGTGAAGAAGCGTTTCCTGACATCCAACCTAAACTGATCCTGGCACAACTCGAAGCCATTTCCCCTCATCCTGTCACCTGTCACCAGTGAGAAGAGACCACCCCGCTCTCGCTGTAAGCACCTTTCAGGTATCGGAAGACAGCAATAAGGTCTCCCCTCTGCCTCCTTTTCTCCAAACTTAACAGCCCCGGTTTCATCGAGGCGTCTGGGTTCTTTTCCTAGTGTAAGAAAGAAGACTTGGGTCTCTAGCAAAACAAAGTCGGGAACAGCAGAACTCCCTCACCTGTTCGGAAAGGGAAAGGCACTCTCCTACCTCTCTCCTTCCTGGAGCTACGCTGCAAGCATGACTCACCCTTCCAGTAAGCGGGAGGTTACTGGAGTCAGGAGGTGAACCTGCCCGGTCCCGCACGGCCGGAGGTGCCGGGTAACGCGTGCCGTGGGACCGGCAACCCGCTGCACGCTCGAAGCCTGCGGACCTACGTGCTACGGATGCTCCTCGGCCTACCTGGAAGCGAACTCTTCAGTGCAGGTGGGAATCTGTACTCCTCAGAAAACTCAACCGAAAGCTATGGCTCCTCCCAAGGTAACGCTTAAGCCGAGATCAGCAAAAGAGCTCAGCAGAACACTTCAAACTTTCACTCTCCAAAGGTGAACTACTAAGTGACTCCGTATGAGGAACTGCGCTAACTCAGCCCCTATCAACCTAGTGTTATCCTTCACGAATAAGTTGAATTGCCCCCAGGAACGAACGCGCCCAGAGCTCTGTTTCGACAGAGGCCTCGGACTGGCGCTGCAAGTCTTCCTGTCCTTGACGTGACCTGCCCCGTCCCGGCGGGAGGGCGACTATTCAGCCAACAGCTGAGCGTGGCGGA